CGGTGAAAAGGAAGCCTGTCTTGAACCTCCCCACATTTTTAAAAGCAAGAGATATCCTTGTTTCATTCATGAACATGATTCCTTAATATGCCACCTTAAAAAAAATAAAAATAAAACACAGCCCAGAAGAGTAGAATTTCTTTACCTTGTTCTTGCTTGAAGAGAATGCTATACTAAAAGGAAAAATGAATGTGTAAATCAATAAATACTGTTGTTATATGGGGATAAATGTTAAACTGCAAAACCAGGATATGATGTCTACCTACCTGAGTAGTCATTTTTTCTCACAAATTGATCGCGTACATAAGTGCTCTGGAAGAAGAGGAAACGGCTGAGTTGAGAAAAATAAGGAGACGTGTTTTCAATAAATTCTCAATCAAATTTAAGTTGCACTGGAAACATAAATTATAAAGACAAGAGCAACTATGATAAAAGCAACAAGTATTGTCATGAGGCGCAGCAGTCTCTTTTAGTGCATGTAAGTTTTAAGCATCCCAGTTTAAGATATTGAAGGCATGCGGGTGCAGAACGCTAAAGAACAAGCTCCGGCCGAGTGAGCCTTCAGCTCCGCAGGTGACCTGAGCCCCAGCCCAGCTGTTTACAGCTTCAGCTCTTGCCTCGGCGGCGTCGGCAGCAGAGGGAGGCTGCTACTGGCTTAGTCAGAGCCGCTGAAAGGCGCGCAAAGAATGGCCGGGTGTGCCCCTCACGCTCACCCACGAGGCTGGGGGCGCCACATCAGGTCCAAAGGCGTGAGCCCAGAGAAGCCCCGGGCCTCCTGCGCGTGCCGCGCTGGTCCAGACCCGGAGGGCGGAGGGCAGGAGCGGGGTCGCCCTTCCCAGCCCCACCAGGGAGGGCGAGCGGCCGCCGCCCGTCCTTCTCGCTCGTGGCTCCCTCGAGCAGCGCAGCCGCCTCCAGGGCGGGAGCCCAGAGCTCGGCGGCTCAGCGGGGACCCCGAATCGCGCTCGGGTTGAAGCGGCCGAAGGCAGGCAAGAGGGAGCCCCGGCGGCTCTCGCGGCCCCCGGCCTCTCCCCGTTGCCCGAACGGAGCGCAGGAAGGAGACCTCCGGCACCCCGAGGGGCCGACGCAGGGAAAGGGGCTGCTCTCTAGGGAGGGCCGCCAGTTCTGGGAAGGCAGAGGCCGCTGCTTGCCGAGGAGCCCAGATGTGGGGCGGGAGGGGTTGCTATGGAGACCGACCCGGGTGTGGGAGAATTGAGCGCCGACGACGCTGCTGCGGTGACGGCCTCCCTCCCACGGGCCCCTTTCCCCCTCCGGCCC